AACTTGTAATTAAGCTGTGTAATAAATTTCATTTATATGTATAATGTTAAATTTCTTGAAAAACGGAAAAGGAATTATATTTTGAAAATTGTATGTCGATGATTTTAGTTTCGAGTCATGAATCACAGGATCAAGTCATGTCTGCATTTTATATTAATCGGGTACTGCCTAATCCTCTGCAATATAGTAGAAGGCGCCGTGCTTCAATTTTTTTTTTTTTTTTCCCTTTTTGAATTTTTGGAAGGGGGGTTCTATTTTTATTTCTTATAGAATCGAAGATTTGTGCATATTACACTGAGGTCTGTAACTTGCAGGTGAGAATTCCCTTTTATGGTTTGGGCCGAGACCTGCAGCACTTATCACGAACCCGGTGATTATAAGAGAGATTTTGTCAAAAAGTTATATTTTTCAGAAGCCGCCTTCTCCTCCAATAGCTAAATTGCTCGTACAAGGACTAGCTACCTATGAAACAGATAAATGGGCTAAGCATAGAAGATTGATCAATCCTGCTTTTCACCTTGAGAAGCTAAAGGTAACTCTTGCGCTTGATCTCAATTTGTGATCTTTGTGCCAAATCCTCTCATCTCAGTACACTGATTCGATGTACATTTATCTATTGTGTTGTACAGCACATGTTACCATCATTTTACTTGAGTTGCTGTGAGATGTTGGGCAAATGGGACAAGATTGTACCTAGTGAAAGATCAAGTGAATTAGACGTGAGTCCTTACATTCAAACTTTGACAAGTGACGCGATTTCACGCACTGCATTTGGCAGTAACTACGAAGAAGGAAGAAAGATATTTGAACTACAAACAGAACAAGCAGAGCTTATCACACAAGCAAGAAATTCTTTTATAATCCCGGGATGGAGGTTCAATTACTTTTTTCTTCGTTAATTCCTTCTGTTTGTAATTCATAATACAATAAAAGACAGTTCATGACTTATTTTTACTTTACGCATAGGTTTTTGCCGACTAAAGCCAATAGAAGAATGAAGGAAATTGCAAAGGAAGTCGAATCATCAGTACTAGGCATAATTAGAAAAAGAATAGAGGCAATAGAGGCAGGTGAAGCTAGTTCTGATGATTTATTAGGTATATTGTTAGAATCGAATTTCAAGGAAATCCATCAATATGGGAGCAAGCATGGGATTACATTAAAGGAGGTCACTGAGGAGTGCAAACTTTTCTACCTTGCCGGGCAGGAGACAACCTCGTCCTTGCTGGTTTGGACGATGATTTTATTGAGTAAGAATATGGATTGGCAAGTCCGTGCAAGAGACGAGATCTTACAAGTTTTTGGAAAAGGAAAACCAGATTTTGATGAGTTAAATCGCCTGAGAATAGTAAGTAATTCTCATTTATTTACTCATTAGTTCTCTTATATTCTTGCAGTTCTATATTATGTTATCCATTTCAACATTTTTTTGTAGGTAACAATGATTTTCCACGAGGTTCTAAGATTATACCCGCCTGCATTAATGCTCACTCGAATAACTCACAAGGCTGCCAAATTTGAAAACATATTCCTTCCGGCTGGTGTGCTGCTCTTACTGCCAGCAATTTCATTGCACCACGACTCCAAAATATGGGGCGATGATGCAAAGGAATTCAACCCAGAGAGGTTCAACGAAGGAGTCTTAAAGGCAACAAAGGATCAGTTCTCGTATTTTCCCTTTGGTTGGGGACCTCGTATATGCATTGGCCAGAATTTCGCAATGTTAGAAGCGAAGATGGCGCTCGCGATGATTTTACAGAATTATTCTTTCGAGCTTTCTCCATCTTATGTGCATGCTCCTTACACTGTTTTAACACTTCAACCTCAGCACGGCGCACAGTTAATCCTCCACAAACTATAGGCATCAAAATTTCGGGTTTTAATTATGGTTTTTACATATATGTTACTTAGAATGTTGTATTTAAATTTTTGTTGAAATAAAAATATATAGTAATTGTTAGAATATGATTGGACATCTCTTAGATTTAAGTTCCGCCACTGCGCATTTATGAAAATTGTACAAATATAAGGTATTGAAAAACATGATTAGATTAGTATAGAACTCTAGCTTCTATCAGGACAGAAAATGGCAGCAAGGTATGCCAGTCTTTTTCTTTCAAAATTTAATGGGTTGGTCCATTGCCTAATTATAGGGTTAAGAGCCTCATAACCTAGGCCACGTATGGCTAGGGCCAGTAGGTGGATCATCCCTATGGTTGAATCTATAGGCTTGTGTCAAGTATACTGCAGGCGGCAAAGCCTCATTTGACATCCCTATAGCAGAGGCTAAAGATTGTGAAAATGCTAGTTGAATGTGCTAGCCTCGTCCATTTAAAGATCAATTAGCTTAAGAATTTGCTCGAACCACCGCAGTATGTACAGGTGGTGGTTTGGTAATCACCTAAAGGAACCAATTTGTCAAACGTGTTAATGGTCGAACACCATTACAGTTAGTTTTGTAGGTTAAGGACGAATAACTGTTGCTACAAGTTAGAGATTTAAATGTGCAATTTTTGCAATTATATTATAAATTTATAAATGTGTCATTGCTGACGTCCTACTATTTCTTACATAATGAGAATTGATTCCTATAGTCAATGTCACATTAGGTCAAAGATCAACCCAAGAACCAAGCTTCAAAAGACAAAATTTACCTTGTCGGAAGAGCTCAACCCAGTCTTAAAGAACGTTGATCAGACAAGCATAGTATAAGGATTGACCTAGAACCCAGCCTTGGCGGAGCAAGGGACTATTTCATTGTCAAGCACCATCACCATTATTGGAACTAGCATAGTTCACACCACACCAATGCAAGCTCTTCTATGTTGCTGAAAAGGAGACCACTTCTGTGTTACTTGTTCGGAAATTGGTTCCACTGAGTTCACATTCAGACTGGCAGATGCAAGTAAGAGAAGGGGTCTCGCAAGTATTTGAGAGTGAAAAAAACAGACACAAATTAAATCACCTGAAAATCGTAAATAACTTCCGTTTATGCATAACAAGTATTAAAAAGAAGTTTGACTTGCAGACTCATTTGTGTTTGTATCTCGAACCCTGCTTATAACCTTACGAGATCTTTATGACAGATTTCCATGAGTTTGCACGAGCATCGTTGACTAGTAATAGGATACGATAGTAAACGATACAAAGTTGTGCCAACGAAGTTATAATTGAATCATATTTGACTGCATCTAAAGTTTGATTTTTGAGCAGTGGGAAGTCTTCTCTTTTGTTTAGAGCTGTTACCATAATGCTGAAGCGTTATGCAGATTTTCTTTGGACTCACTCTTCATCTTGCTAATGCCAAAAATGAAAAATTTCCTTTACCCTATTTCTCATCTATCATGTAGTCTTGGTGATCGAGCTGTGAGTCATCTGATTATCCAACCATAGACCTTTCTAGTCCCTGGACTGAATTCTGAAGTCTATGCTGCATCATTTACCGATGGTTCAACCGGCAGAATCACCCTTCTCAGAGGAACTTTTCTTACAAAATATGCCAGTGGTATGTGACTGGAGGTATCAGTTCTAGTACAATAGGATTCCCTCTGGTTGTCTTGTCCGATAATAGTAACAATCCATTCAGGATCAATGCAACCAAGAAACTCACATCAGATTGTAATTAAAAAAATTTCAGGTAACTTGCATGGTCTACAAACACTGAAGGAACGTCTGTTGTAGGCTAAAATATGACAGAAAGTGAGAGCTGTGTTCTCTTCGATTAAACAACTCAGATGTTTTGAAATCCTCTGATCATCCGACCTGAAACTTTGGTTCCCGGCAGAAATTAGCATCAGGACTGTTAGCTAGTGTTTCAAGAAAGTTGAAGCTTATAGCATTGGCAACTACTGGGATTCTGGAAATTCTGTGGCTGGAAAACTTTTGAGCAATCTCGATGGGATGAGGGAAGGCATTTGCTGAGTCTGGATGGATGTAGTTGACAAGTACTGTGAAGATATACGGTCTAATGGAGCTCAAGTTGTTATGCAGGTTGCTGCTTGGTGTTTGCAAAGTGATTACGCCAACAGGCCATGAATTTTAATTTTTAGATTCATTGTAAAATTTAATCTCATTATTATATTTGTAACTTATATTTAATTTGATTAATTTTCATTGTAAGAGTGTTGAATTTTCTACTATAAAAAGGACTGGATTTTCCATTGTTCTACACACACCAAAAACAATCACTTGAAAAATACTCTCAGTCATTTAATACTACTCTCTATTTCTTTCATATTATCTTCTTCTATAAACTTTGGCAATAGATAAGGGGTTGTTCTTTCTCTCCTTGTGCTCGGGTCCATAGAATGAGAATCGACTGCGAGCTATGCAGTGTTGAAAGAACCTTCATGAAGGGGAGACCACACGGATTTAGGATAGTGTTTATTGTCACTTTCTTAAGTCAACTTTTCTAACTCTATTCTTATATTTATTTTATTTGACTCATGTTTATAATTGATAATTTATTATACAAATCACGTTATTTTACATGTTAATGGTGGTAAAGTGTTGGAGAGTGCTAACGAAGTTGATAAGACCTGGATTATGATTTCATTAATCCAAAGAATTTGACAATAAAATAAAATAAAATCGCTACCGAATCCTAAGGAATGCCGAACGAGTAAAATGTTTGAAAGATGAGTGACCTTTGGAAAAATTTTGAAGTTCAGAGGCCAAGTATTTGGTTAACTTAAGTGACCACTGAAGGAAGGGACAATAATGGCAGGTGGGAATTTAAAGGAATTTTTTATTAACTTATGATAATATTTTGTTGTTTGGTCTTTATGAGCTACAAAATTTTAAGAATTAATTTCTTTTTAATTTAACCAGTGAAAACATCTCTTTGTTTTGATCACCATCATGTATGTGGTTGAAATCAAATTAAATTTATTTAATTTTCTTCATCATACGCAGCAATTTTCTAATTAAAACTCCCTTCTCTCTCCCCATCCTCTGTCTCTCACACACAAACACCAAGAAATGGAGATATTACAGAAATCAGTTGCAGTATGTTGTGCAGTTATTTTCTTGATTTATGCATGGAAAATCTTGAACTGGGTTTGGTTTAGGCCAAAGAAGCTTGAGAGATGCCTCAGACAGCAGGGTTTCAATGGAAACTCGTATAAGTTGTTGTTTGGAGACTTCAAGGAGATGATGATGATGGCAAATGATGCTAAGTCGAAGCCCATCAATTTCTCTAATGATATTATGCCCAGAGTAATGCCCTTCATCCAAAAAGCTGTCCAAAACTATGGTATGATTGAAAAATAAATCCTAATTTCGCTAAATTGTTGTGTAAATTACAGTATTTATAACAAAATCAGTTGCTCTGAAATCAAGATATCGTAGTTAAGTATTTATACATGTAACTTGAAAAATAAAGTTATGTTTCTACTGCTTATAATTTGTATTAAGCTTTGTAATAAGTTCCATGGATATTGGTTAAATTACTGGAGAAGGGAAATTGAATTATATTCTGAAAATTGCAATATTGATGATTTTAGTCAAGAGTCATGAATCACTGAATATCAAGTTGTGTCTCTATTTCATCGTACTCGGGTAGTGCCTAATTGTCTGTAGTATAGTAGAAGGCGCTGTGCTTCATTTATTTGTTTATTTATCTAAAACTTTTCTTTTTGACCTTTTTGAATTTTTGGGATGGGGTCGGTTGAGTTGGGGTTTCATATTCTGATGTCTTGTAGAATCTATGATTTGTGCATATTACATTGAGGTCTGCAACTTGCAGGGGAGAATTCCTTTTTATGGTTTGGGCCAAGACCTGCAGCACTTATCACGAACCCGGTAATCATAAGAGAGGTTTTGTCAAAAAGTTATATTTTTCAGAAGCCACCTTCTCATCCGATATTTAAATTGCTCGCACAAGGTCTAGCTACCTATGAAACAGATAAATGGGCTAAGCATCGAAGATTGATCAATCCCGCTTTTCACCTTGAGAAGCTAAAGGTAACTCTTGGGAGTGATCTCAATTTGTGATCTTTGTGCCAAATCCCATCTTCTCAACACACTGATTCGATGTACATTTATCTGTTGTGTCGTACAGCATATGTTACCGTCATTTTACTTGAGTTGCTACGAGATGTTGAGAAAATGGGAGAAGATTGTACCCAGTGAAAGATCAAGTGAATTAGACGTGTGGCCTTATCTTCAAACTTTGACAAGCGATGCAATTTCACGTACTGCATTTGGCAGTAACTACGAAGAAGGAAGAAAGATATTTGAACTACAAACAGAACAAATAGAGCTTATCACACAAGCAAGAAATTCTTTTATAATCCCGGGATGGAGGTTCTATTACTTTTTTCTTTGTGAATTCCTTCCATTTTTTAATCATAATACAATACAAGACTGTTCAATAACTTATTTGTACTTTACGTTTAGGTTTTTGCCGACTAAAGCCAATAGAAGAATGAAGGAAATTGCAAAGGAAGTCGAATCATCTGTACTAGGCATAATTAGAAAAAGAATAAGCGCAATAGAGGTGGGTGAAGCTAGTTCTGATGATTTATTAGGTATATTGTTAAAATCGAATTTCGAGGAAATCCATCAATATGGGAGCAAGCATGGAATGACATTGAAGGAGGTCATTGACGAGTGCAAACTTTTCTACTTTGCCGGGCAGGAGACAACCTCGTCTTTGCTGGTTTGGACGATGATTTTATTGAGTAGGCATATGGATTGGCAAGTCCGTGCTAGAGAAGAGATCTTACAAGTTTTTGGAAAAGGAAAACCGGATTTTGATGAGTTAAATCGCCTGAAAATAGTAAGTAATTCTCATTTTTTTTACTTTTTATATCTCTAATATTCCTGCAGTTCTATATTATGTATCCATACTCGTGTTTTTCATAGGTAACAATGATTTTTCACGAGGTTCTAAGATTATACCCGCCTGCATTAATGCTAACTCGAATGACTCACAAGGCTGCCAAATTTGAAAACATATTGCTTCCAGCCGGAGTGGAGCTCTTACTGCCAGCAATTTCACTGCACCACGACTCCAAAATATGGGGCGATGATGCAAAGGAATTCAACCCAGAGAGGTTCAACGAAGGAGTCTTAAAGGCAACCAAGGATCAGTTCTCGTATTTTCCCTTTGGTTGGGGACCTCGTATATGCATTGGCCAGAATTTCGCAATGTTAGAAGCGAAGATAGCACTCGCAATGATTTTACAGAATTATTCTTTCGAGCTTTCTCCATCTTACGCGCATGCTCCTTACACTGTTGCAATACTTCAACCTCAACACGGCGCACAGTTAATCCTCCACAAACTGTAGGCATCAAAATTTCGGGTTTTAATTATGGTTTTTACTTATATGTTACTTAGAATGTTGTATTTAAATTTGTATTGAAATAAAATTATATAGTAATTTTTAGAATATGATTGGACATCTCTTAAATTTAAGTTTCGCCGTTGTGTGTTAAAGAAAATTGTACAAATATAAGCAATGTCTTTTTCTTTCAAATTTAGTCCCTGTTTGATGTCCATTACTTGAAAATGAAAATGGGGGGAATAGTATTTTTTAGAAAAATGAGTTGTTGAAAAAGAAGAAAAAGTTTTCGATTTACGTGTAATATTATTTTATGGAAGATTGTGTGATTGAAAATAGAAAAGAAAAAAATGTAATGTAATGTAATTGAATTTAATGGGTTGGTCCATTGCCTAATTCTATAACCAAGGCCACGTATGTCTAGGACCAGTAGTTGGGTCGTTCCTAAGGTTGAATCTATAGGCTTGAGTCAAGAATGATGCAGA